TAGCAGTGCTATTGCTGGGTCATAGGGTAGGTCTATTTTTAATTTTCTGAGGAACCTCCACACTGCTTTCCAGAGTGGCTGCACCAATTTGCATTCCCACGAACAGTGCAAGAGGGTTCCCGTTTCTCCACATCCTCTCCAGCATCTATAGTCTCCTGATTTGTTCATTTTAGCCACTCTGACTGGTGTGAGGTGATATCTGAGTGTGGTTTTGATTTGTATTTCCCTGATGAGGAGCGACGTTGAACATCTTTTCATGTGCCTGTTGGCCATCCGGATGTCTTCTTTAGAGAAGCGTCTATTCATGTTTTCTGCCCATTGCTTCACTGGGTTATTTGTTTTTCAGGTGTGGAGTTTGGTGAGCTCTTTATAGATTTTGGATACTAGCCCTTTGTCCGATATGTCATTTGCAAATATCTTTTCCCATTTCGTTGGTTGCCTTTTAGTTTTGTTGGTTGTTTCCTTTGCTGTGCAGAAGCTTTTTATCTTCATAAGGTCCCAGTAATTCATTTTTGCTTCTAATTCCCTTGCCTTTGGGGATGTGTCGAGTAAGAGATTGCTACGGCTGAGGTCAGAGAGGTCTTTTCCTGCTTTCTCCTCTAGGGTTTTGATGGTTTCCTGTCTCACATTCAGGTCCTTTATCCATTTTGAGTTTATTTTTGTGAATGGTGTGAGAAAGTGGTCTAGTTTCAACCTTCTGCATGTTGCTGTCCAGTTCTCCCAGCACCATTTGTTAAAGAGACTGTCTTTTTTCCATTGGATGTTCTTTCCTGCTTTGTCAAAGATGAGTTGGCCATACGTTTGTGGGTCTAGTTCTGGGGTTTCTATTCTATTCCATTGGTCTATGTGTCTGGTTTTGTGCCAGCTTGTCTGTATATTTTTAAAAATAGTTGTCAAGTACATATGAAGGTCACTATGGTATTTGTATTTTATTGCTTAGCTTTGAAATAATAACACTTAAGTGACAATTTTGACATCAGCTCAGATCATGATCTCACAGTTGGTGGGTTCGAGCTCCGTGTCGGACTCTGTGCCGACAGCTCGGAGCCTGGAGCCCGCTTCTGATTCTGTGTCTCCCTCTCTTGGCCCCTCCCCTGCTCATGCTGTCTCTCTCTCTCTCAAAAATAAATAAACATTAAAAAAAATGAAAAGAAAAGAAAATATTTTCCCTAAGGCTGAAGTTTGTCATTTCACCCCCTTACAAAATTTTTTGAAGAGCTAAAATTGGTATCAAACCTCAGAATTCTTTGTCTTGCCTAGCTCTAGATCCTGAAGGTATTCTCTTATGTTTTTTTCCTAGAAGTTTTATAGTTTTAGAACTTACATGTAAGTCTATGATAAATTTTGAGTTCATTTTTTTATGAGATGTGAGACTCTGGTTGAAGTTCTTTTTTTTTTTTTTTAATTTTATTTATTGTTGCCTATGGATGTCCAATTACTTCACCATGATTTGTTGAAAAGGTTTCTCCTTTGGATTGCTTTTGCAACCTTGTCCAAATTGTCAGTTTTTTTCTGTACATGGTACGTATTTTATGTCCTGCTCAGACAGGTCGTCCCCATTTCAATAGTAAAAATTAATCTACATTCTTCTCGATTTTTTTACATCTAAATTTTTACTCTATCTGAAGGTTATTTTAGTTTGATTTTTAAAAAAACATTTCTTGATTTCGTTTGAGAGGGAGAGAGTGAGCTAGTGGGGGAGGGGCAGAGACAGAGAGGGAGACAGAGAACCCCAAGCAGACTCAGCAGTTGTCAGCGCAGAGACCGACCCGGGGCTTGGTCCCTGCAACTGTGATATCACTACCTGACCCGAAACCAAGAGTCGATGCCTAACTGACTGAACCACTCAGGTGCCCCAAGGTTATTATTGTATTTTGTAAGGAAGAGCTAATGATCCAGTTTTCTTTTATTTCCCCAAAGGTTACCTAATGTCCCAGTATCCTTGTACTCCCACTGATTTGAAACCTCACTTTCATCATAAACTAAATTCCTAAAAATATTTGTGGCTGTTCCTGGGCTCTTCATTCAGTCCCAATGGCTTGTCTGTTTGTTTCCTCTCCACTCCTAAACTGTTGAATCTATTTTAATTGTTGTTATTTGGAACCGGGTAGAGCCAGTTCCTTCTACTTCTCCTGTTTCTCTCCTGGATATTCTCACGTGTACTTTTCCTTAGGAAATTCATTGGCAGGTGTAGTTAGCTATCCCCCAGACATTCCTTCCTTCCTTCCACAGTGTTGGGATGATGGGTATGAGGCTGCTGGCCAGCCTCAGACTACATTTCCCAGCATGCCCCTCCCTCTAAGATGTGGTCATGTGACTAGGTCTCACCAATGGGATGCCAGGGGGAATGATAAGGGTCCTGCTGCCCCTGATGGGGCTAAGAAGTGGGTCTCCTTCTCTACCTTTTCTATTCTCCTTTTCTGACAACCTTGGGAGCCAAAAGCTTATAATTGTGGGGACGTGGGCTGGAAGCAGCTGGTCTCTGAATCACTGCGTAGATGGTCCCCTGCTGAACACTCAGGCGTGAGAACAAAAACAGCAAAAAACCCCACTGCACATTTGGTGTGTTTAGCCAGTGACATGAAAAGTTTGTGTCACAGCAACTCCTGGTATTTTAACGGCTTTAATATCACTTCAGCAAGTTCTCCAAAACTCCTCGTCTTACTTAGGGTGGCATTGAATTTATAACTCAGAGAGACCTACTATCATCACAATATGGAACATGACATCTTTCTGTATAATTAGGTCTTCTTTTGTGACCATCAGTAGAATTTAAAACATCTTTCTTACCATCCAAAGATAGTGATAATTAATATATGGGGCTATATTTCAGGAATCTCTCCATGCAGTCATATACGGTATACATATTTACTTTTCCCTAAATGGAATCATATGACACATGCTGTAATTTTATAAATATGCATGTTTTTTCATGTTTATTTTGAGAGAGAGAATGAGTGGAGAGGGGCAGAGAGAGAAGGGGATGGTTTTTGAAGCAGGCTTTGCACTGACAGCAGAGAGCACCTGAGCTGAAGTTGGATGCTTAACTAACTGAGCCACCCAGGTGCCCCTATAAATTACATTTTTATTCCAAAATTTGTACAACACTACATAGAGATCTACATACAGAGGCTGGAAAATTTGTTTTCAAAGGCCAGATCATTAATATTTTTGACTTTGTGGGTCCAGAGTGTATTATTACAGAGGTACTTAACCATTTAAAATGTAAAAACCTGCTTAGCTTTTATTCAATAAAAGAGCTGGCCCACAGGCCATAGTTTGCCAATAGGTAGTACACATCATCATTTAAAAAACTACTTACTTAAGTAGTCTTATGTTAATGTACATTGATGTGGCCTTCCATATCAATTTGCTATTATAAATACTGTGGCAACATTGTGTGTAAACCCCTTCACGCTAATGTATTTACCCCCAAACGGTAAATTCCTGGAAATAGAATTGATAGGTCAGAACATATGATATTTTACTCTGATACATACCATCAAGATATTCTCATTTATGTTTACAGTCTCATCAGTTATGTGCAAGACCTCCTGTTTCACCATGTACTTATCAACACTGGATATTATCAAACTTTTGATTTTTTCGGTCCAATAAGTGGGGAACAATGATGTCTCACTGATGTTCTTACACTTACTATGGCTGTCTTTTTGCATATTATTGTGAATTTATTATTTATGAATTCCCTCTTTGTGCGTTTTGCCCATTTATCTCCGTGATTTTTTCACATTGATTTGTAACAACTCTTTGCATAATAGAGATAGTAACACTTCATCATTTGTGGGCAATATTCCCCCCCCCCCCAGTTTTTCATTTATCTTATTTCTCATAATCATTTTTCCTTTCCATTTTATAAGTTTTATATTTTATCTGGTTCAGATCGTTAGAAACTTTTACTATGTAATAAGTGTCTGCTATGCATTACTAAGCCTCTCCCCTTTTATGATTACAAAAGCATTCGCCTGTGTTTTGTTTTAGTGCTTTTATGGTCTGTCTTTTACATTTTAACCTTTGGTTTATTCAGAATTTATTTTGAAGAGTCACCCTTATTTGTTTGTGTTTTTTTTTTTTTTTTAAATAAGGCTAGCCAGTTTTCCTAACATTTTTTTTAATGTTTATTTATTTTTGAGAGAGAGAGACAGAATGTGAGCAGGGGAGGTGCAGAGAGAGAGGGAGACACAGAATCCGAAGCAGGCTCCAGGCTCTGAGCTGTCAGCACAGAGCCCGACGCGGGGCTCGAACTCACAAACAGTGAGATCATGACCTGAGCCGAAGTCAAGACGCCCAACTGACTGAACCACCCATGCGCCCCTGTTTGGACATTTTTAATCCACGATTTTGAACCCCGTTATAAATTTCCATGCATTTAGCCTAAAAAATGTCATTGAAAAAACTCACCAGATATCAAGGAACTGAGTATTTTGATTCTAGCAAGTTATTCACTTCTGGCTTTAAATGAAGAATTCCTTGAAAAATGAGGTATGCCTTATCTTTGACTGGAAGCTTTTTTACCTGATGGCAATTTGTGTATCAAAGATAAAAGTCTTATTATTCAGGTGGATAGGGTTGTTTGTATGTCCCCTGAGCGGACAGATACAATTATTTAGAATTGAGAAATACAGCTATACTGTTGCTGTGCAGCTATACTTTGCGTGTATGTGTGACCACGATTACAGACACGAACAAGTTTGCACAATGGGTCGCCAAACCTAAATGTGGGGTGTCCCGATCGGAACGGGGCAGGGGCACCAAATGTAGGGTGCTCTGATTGGGTGGCAGCCGGTGGTGCGGGAGGTGAAAGAATTCACCCAGAGCAGAACAGAAGAGATCAGGGTTTATGGAATATACTGCAGGGGGGCAGCGGGCAGGACAGCAAAGCAGAGACTGCCTTATAGAGGGGTGTTGAGGGGTCGCAGTTATAAGGCGGAGTGAGGGAGCCTGGGGACGGATGGAATTTTCTGTTTTTTGGGAACTTAGGCACTGTGCCTGGTTGTGACTGGTCAGTGAGGGCCTCTGGCTCTTTTGGGGTGGGTCGCCTAAACAGCCTGTTTGCATTCAGCTCGGTGGCTTTGGGCCCTTTGGTTTTGCTCTATGCTAAAGAGTTAATGATCCTAAGATGACGTTTCACCAAATTTAAAGAATAGAAAAGGCACCAGTTTGGGTGCAGCCTTGCATCCAAATTCCAGCTCCAGAGTTTACAAGTCTGTGGTCCTGAGCGCGGCCCTTCCCATGTCTGGGCCTCCGCTCTCTCATCTGTAAAATGGGTTAATAAGTATAACACCAATCTCACACTGCTGTTGGCAGGACTGGAGGAAAGCTGTAATCTGCTGTGGCCGGGGTTAGCCGCTGACACCCCAGTGCCCTCACGCCTGTGGTCTTAAGGTAAACTCCCTTCCCATCTCACACCAACACCTCAGTTTCTGTTTTTTTTTGTTTTTGTTTTTGTTTTGTTTTGTTTTATTTAACAAGGCACACTACATGTAGCAGAGTCCTTGACCTCGGCTTTGTTCCTGCCCACCCCTCCCCCACTGTTCCTGGGGTCCTGCACCCACCGCAGTCCAGTGGCACTCAACTTCCATTCTCACCCCAGCCCGGAAAGCCCTGGCCCAGCGTGGGTGGGACCTTGTTGCTCCATCCAGAGCTCGCCCTGTCCTCTGAGCCCCCTCTGCATTGGGCTGCTGGCTGGGGTCCCACTTGGTCCCGCCACCTTTCCCTTCCCTTGGAGGATACTTACCCCGAGGTGTCTACATTCCCAGAGAGGATGATCGGGAATACGGATGTCTGCTCTTACTGTCCGACTTCCTGGTGTCATGACAAAGAGGCTGTCAGATGGCCCAAAGTCAGGTCATCAGGGTGGCAGCCATCCATTCCAGGGCACTTCATCGGAAGGTGGCTTTTGCCCTCACACTTTGCCTTATGTAACAGTTCTTTATGTGCCTGGCACATGTCCCTGATTCACGAGAACTTATCTCTTAATCATCTCTATTCTGGGTAGGCAGGCGTGCCTCTGGGTGACTAAGGCCTTGCCCTGCCCCGCACCCACCAACAATTGTCTGTGGTCCTGACACACCAAAGACAGGTTTGCTTGCTCAGATTTCAGAATTCTGAAATCTGAAAAAACAAAGGAAAGCTGGGGAAGAAAAGAGAGTGTTGTAAGTAGGAGTCTTTTTTTTTTTTTGCAAGGGAAAGAAACCCAGCTCCAACTGGCTGAAGAAGGACAAAGACCTGACCGGGGAAAATCCAGCCTGGCTGGCTCGGGGCCCGGTGGGCGGACAAAAATATCGAGCTCATCCACCTTGTGCTCCGTTTGCTTTCTTCTCCTTAGTGAGTTTTCTGTTCTCTTTGGGCTCATCCATCATGGTGGCAGTGATGGCCGCTGGTGACTCCTGGTCCCTCCGCCCCTCCGAACCGCCACCCCCTTCCCAGGAACTGGGGAGGAATAGCACATCTCGTTCCCAAAAATCTCCAGAAAAAATGCCCGGAATTGCAAGTCAGGGCCTGACTTGGACCATAAGCTCATCCCCAAGTCAGTCAGGATGGCCTGAGTGTTTGACTGGCTCGACCCACGTGGATGTCCTGCCCTTGAAGGGGTGGGGAGGACAGGTTGGGGAGCTGAGTGGTGGCAGAAGGCTGTCAGCTCTTCCCAAATTGTGTGAACCGAGAGAGCCAACGGAAGACCTGTGGTTTCCCCCGGGAAAATCAAGAGGCTATCACCCAAAGAAAGAGGGATTAGGTCTTAAGAAGACACTAATGCCAGGTATCCATTACGGGGACAGAGCAAGAGAGAGAGCAGATGAGAGAGAGACACATGCAGAGAGACAGAGATATTAGGGAAGCCGACCATTGACACAGAGGAAAAAGACATTTGCAATTTTAAGAAAAGAAGTTCCTTTTTTTTTTTTGCTAGCAATCAAGAAAGAATTATTATACCCATGTTCCTAGTAGCATTATTCCCATAAGGTGGAAACGACCCCAATATCCATCGATGGATGAATGGATAAACAAAATGTGGCATATCCGTGCAATGGACTATTATACGGTCTTTAAAAGGAAGGAAGTTCTGACACCTGCTCCCACCTGGGTGGCAGCTTCATCGCAGGATTTTTTTACCCAATACCCGGGATTCGTGGTCTTGCCACTTTGAAGCATGAAGAGGTGGACAAAAGTTTATTAGAGCATCCGATCAGAAAGGAAGATTAGCAGGAAAGCTCTCTTTACAGAGAGGGGCCATCTGAAAGTGAATGCCCACGGACTACAGGCAAGGGTCCTTGTTTTATAAGGTCCTGGTCAGCCCTCCCATCCCTTCCCCCTTTCTCAGGTCCTGACCTTTCTTTCTCAGGTCCTACCCTTACTGGCTGGATAGCTCTACGTGCTGGGCTGTGCGGTCCTGACCGGGCTCGACTCCATTGTGTGAGAGCTCAGACTGGTCTGTGGCCATATCATTCCTTGTGGGTCATACGTTTTATGATCCACTACTTATCTTTTGTCACGTCTTTTGTCAGATTCCCGAGGGGAACCTGAGGGGCGTAGGTAGCATCGGTTACATTCTTAAGAGGGACCTGACGCTGCAGGGGGTTTGCTGTGATTAGCCGCTCCCAGCATTGTTCCAAAATCTGTTTTTCCCATCCAGGGACCTCAGGCCCTAACCTTTCCCTCTCTTTTTACCTAATTTACCTATCTTTTCCTATCATACCTTGAGGACATTATGCGAAGTGAAATTAGCCAGACATAAAAGGATAGATACTGTATGATTCCACTTATATGATGTAGTCAGATTCAGAGACAGAGGTGTTTGTGAGGGACTGGGGGGCAGGGGGATGGCGAGTCATTGATGGGTAAAGAATTTTGGTCTGAGAAGATGGAAACATTCTGTAGGTGGATGTCATGATGGCTGCATGTAATATGAGCACACTTCATACCCCCCGAACCACACGCTTACAAATGGTTCAAATATTAAATTGTCAGTGCGGGAGACAAGCCTCAGATGAGGAGAAAATATTGCCAAACATATCACTGAAGAAAGGACTTGCATCCGGAGTATATATGCTAGTCCCAAAACTCAATAGTGAGAAAACAACCAAACAGCTAACATATGGGCTTGAAAGATTCGAACAGACATCTTAGCAAAGAAGATAGGCACGCGGAAAAAAAAAAAAAAGTTCAACAAAATGAGTCATAATTAGTGCAAATTAGAACGTCTGAACTCCAAAAGACTGGTCATACCCGCTGTTGGTGACAATCTGGAGAGCCCGGAAGTCTCATACACTGCAGGCAGGACCTGGAAAACAGCTTGGTGGTTTTTTAAAAGTTAAATTCACACCCACTGTCCTTCTCTTAGGTAGTCACTCAAGGGGAATGACAACACATGTCACCGAAAGACTTGTACAAAAACGTTCACAGCAGCTTTTTGGGCAGCATCCCCAAATTGGGACAAGGCCCATCCAAGGGCGAGTGGGGGAGGAGGCTGGGGCATGATCACACCGTGGAGACATCCACAGCAACCAGAGGCAGGGGACCTCGTGCGTGCTAGAACCTGGATGATGCTAAAATACATACGTCCAGGGAAGGAAGCCAGATGCTTGGTTTCACCTATGGAAAATTCTGGAAAACTCAAACCTATTCATAGTGTGAGAAAACAGATTAGTGGGGCGCCTGGGTAGCTCAGTCGGTTAGGCGTCCGACTCTTGATTTTGGCTCAGGTCGTGATCTCACAGTAAGTGGGTTCGAGCCCTGGGTCGGGCTCTGTGCGGAGCCCGCTTGGGATTCTGTCTCTTCCTCTCTCTCTGCCCCTCTCCCGCTCAGTCTTTCTCTTTCTCTTTCTCTCTCTCAGAATAAACATACAAAAAAAAAAAAAAAGAAATAGAAAGAAAGAAAACAGATTAGTGTTTGCAGACAAGAACAGGGTCACAAGGGAACTTTGGGGGATGATACATCTGTGTTTGCTGTCTTGATTGTGATAAAGGTCTCATGGTGTGTACAGATGTCAAAACATCAACGTTTAAACATGTGTAACGTATTATCTATCAACTAAACCTCAGTAAAGCTGCTCAAGAATTGATAAAAAAAAAATCCAAAAGATACTTCTGGTTTCTATTTTGAGATCGTTTACCTGTGGAAAGCAAACCGATTCTGAGCCCAGTTACCTTTGACCTTAACTGAGTTGCTGTGCCTTTGAACTTTGATTTCCACATTTGCAAAATGGGGACAGTACCTGCCTCAGGAGACTGCCCTGAAGAAGCAGCAAAGTCAAGTTTGTTAAATGCTCAGTAGGAGGTCTGGGAGCAGACTCGACCCCTAACTTTTGTTGTTATTGACAGCAATTTCAATTACTGGAATACTAAAGGGTGTGGAGTAAAGCCTTCTGATTTTTAAAGGCAGTTTCTAAAATGGCATATTCTTATATTATGGGCATAAAACCTGGCAGCCCAGGACACAGAGACTGAATTCAGTGTTCTCTCCCAGGGACCCGAGATTCGCCTGCAAATTCCCTCCTGGTTTTATCCAAAAGGTAACTTCCTAAACACAGACCAGTTTTATTTGTAACTTTTTTTATTGAAATGTAATATACACACAGAAAAGCACACAACTGTAACAGCTCAATGACCTTTCACAAACAGAACTCACCCTTGCCAGCATCCAGATCTGGAGATAGAAGGTGGCAACGCCCCGGAAATCTCCACGTGCCCTGTCCTTGGCTTTGCTTTGTTTGGAACTTTTTATATAGGACGTGTGCTTTTTCATGTCTGGCTTCTTCCACTTGGTGACATGCATCTAATTGTTAGCCAGCCCACGTGATTTATATTTTCCATACTTTCTCTCTTGCTACCTTTACAAACATTCTCATATCTTTGTTCAGTCTTGAAGGATGAGAGGTTTTGCCAGATTTAGAGAGCAGTGTGGGTAAAAGAAACAGACCATCCAAAGGCTTGAAGGTGTAGAGAACTACGGGAGACATGCATTCTGGGGTAGATATTTCCTACTTAGTTCAAGTGTTTTCATAATTATGATCTTTCAAGTAGTTCCCAGATTTTTCTACAACAAACAATGATGAAATCGATGTCCCTGTGTATATACTCTTACCTGTTGGAGGTTATCTTTTGTAGGATTGATTTTCAAATATGAGGCTTGCTGGGTCTGTGAGTTTAAATATTTAATAACTATTGCAAGATTGTGTTACAGAATATTGTAGCAATTTACATTTCCACTAGCAATAAAGGAGTTTACCTATTTCCCCATCGCAGTCAGTATTGCTGTTTTTAAAAATGGGGTGCCTGGGTGGCTCAGTCGGTTAAGCATCCGACTTCAGCTGAGGTCATGATCTTGTGGTTGTGAGTTCGAGCCCCACGTCTGGCTCTGTGCTGACAGCTCAGAGTCTGGAGCCTGCTTCAGTTTCGATGTCTCCCTCTTTCTCTGCCCTTCCCCTGCTTGCACTCTGTCTCTGTCTCTGTCTGTCTCTGTCTCTCTTTCTCTTTCTCAAAATAATAAACACTTAAAAAAAAAACAATGTTCTGGGGATGGCCCGGTGGCTCAGTTGGTTAAGCATGTGACTCTTGATCTCAGCTCAGGTCTTGATTGTTGGGTCGTGAGTTCAAGCCCCAGGCTGGGCTCTGCCCTAGGCACAGAGCCTACTTAAAAAAAAAAAAAAAAATTCTGTCCTGTTGCTTTAATTTGAATTTTCTTTTTCTGGCTTTTAGAGAGACTGAGTGTCTTTTCATGTTTGTTGGCCATTTGGTTTTCCTCTTCTGAGAGTTATTTAATTTGGATAGTAGACACAAGGATAAAAGCCAAAGCAAAAAAAAAAAAAAAAAAAAAAAAAAGGAGAAATTCTAATCATGCATACGGAATAAGCTTGTGGTGTCCAGCCCACAGTAGGTCCTTAGTAAAGGGTAGTCATTCTACCGTTTTAATTGTTCACCATTTACAGATGGTGACAGTGAACCTTATTGATGAGACTTAGCAGGCTGCTTCTTGAGTCTGATGACCCTCCTCTGGCTGTAAAGGGTTCTGAAATAACCCACATGACTGATGTCTTGTAACCAGTGACTCAAAAGGCATCAGTCAAGGAAAGGATGTGCTTAGGTTTATTTATTTATTTATTTATTTATAACGTTTATTTATTTTTGAGACAGAGGGAGACAGAGCATGAACGGGGGAGGGTCAGAGAGAGGGAGCCACAGAATCGGAAGCAGGCTCCAGGCTCCGAGCCGTCAGCACAGAGCCCGACGCGGGGCTCGAACTCACAGACCGCGAGATCATGACCTGAGCCCAAGTCAGCCGCCCAACCGACTGAGCCACCCAGGCGCCCCAGGACGTGCTTAGGTTTAAACGAAACCTGCAGTTTCGCAGAGAGAAAAGTGGGAAAAAAAAAAAAAAAAAAGCTAGACGCTTTTCCAACCACTAAGTTGCCCTAAGCCCCTGATCACCGTACGCTGAAAACAACGGCAGGGCTATTTAGATAGAAATAAAGCCACTGTTTCAGAAGAGACAAAGAGTTCTGCTTTTAGTTTCTGTGATTGTCCATCTCAGGATCAGCCTGAATTATCAACCATCTGCATTGCAAATACTGGCTGGTTTCAAGAAGAAATCATTCAATTGAAAGCCTGGTGTCGCCAGGCAATTGGGAGTGTGTACCAGCCGGAAACGTTCTCTGCTGCAAGCGACAGAAATCTCAACTCCCACTTCCTGAAACAGGACGTATATTGTTCATTTCACAGGCTCCCAAACTGTCTTGGTTCACAGCGTTCCTGGGCCAAAAGGAATGCCTACCGCTTCTTCTCATGAAACAAATAGGTCCAAAAGCACGTAGCATTTATGTCCTAACAACTTAGCCATTTGAAAAGAAAATACACATATATTGCAAAGTATTTTATTTATATTTTTATTTCATTTTCAGATGACTACACATAACTCGGTTGAATTGAGTCCTTAAATAACTTCCATTATTACATTCTACAGGTAATTACCACGAGATGTGTGTCCTTTGGGGGACTGCACAACTTCCCAGACCTCGGAGTCAGGTTGGAGACCCTCTTACCTACATTTCCTCTTCCACATTGATTTTTTTTTTTAATTTTTTTTTTCAACGTTTTTTTATTTATTTTTGGGACAGAGAGAGACAGAGCATGAACGGGGGAGGGGCAGAGAGAGAGGGAGACACAGAATCGGAAACAGGCTCCAGGCTCTGAGCTATCAGCCCAGAGCCTGACGCGGGGCTCGAACTCACGGACCGCGAGATCGCGACCTGGCTGAAGTCGGACGCTTAACCGACTGCGCCACCCAGGCGCCCCTTCCACATTGATTTTTATGCAGTACTTGCTTTTTATTATGGCAACTCCCATAAAGCCAGCTTTGCAAAGATATGATGTTATTGGAGAGAATGTAGGGCAATTTGATATTACAGCCTTGAACAACCTTGAGCTAGTAATTCACATGGTGTTTGACAGATATCGAGAATCACTATATTTCCCTTGAAGTTTTATAATCCCCCAAAGCCCCTGTGAGTTCAGCGTGGCTCTCTGGGGTGCCCTGGTACACAATCCGAGAAGATCAGGTTAATTTAACAAGGAAGTCAGAAGCAGTTGGTCTTGGGGTTAGTCTGGTGGCTAACCAGACTATACTTATACTCCATCTGGACCTGGTGGTGGATGGCAGACAGGTGTCTACAGCTGCAGAGACATCTTGAACTAAACAAGGATCTAAACAGAGATAAAAATCAGAGGCCTCCGTCATGTCAACCAGACCTGGGATTGGAAGACTGAGAAGTTTGCCAAGCTAAGCAAGTTCTCAAGAAGACACTATCTCACTAGCCCACCGGTTATCCTAGTCGTTTGCGGGGGGACCAGTGTGTTGCTTATGGAGACGGCAGTCCACACGAGAAATCTTGAGTTGTGGAAATACGTTGTGCCTGAATGACATTCGGGTTTTCTTTGGAGAGCCACTGTTTTTGGAGCTACCAAGACAGTCCCTGGATCTAGCGAGGGAGGCTGTGTCTGGAGAGGTGACATCTAGTTGACCAGGGGTCACGGGAGAGACACCCGATCTGAGATTTCAATGTGCAGTGCAGGTTGGCCCAGGGAGCAAAACAGGACTTCAAACAGAGGGAACAGCGCTGGCAGGGAGGGGAGTGGGCACATGGCTCATCGGACTGTTTAGGGTTTGTGTGACCAGAGGTGAGTCAGGGTAGGACTCACAGCCTGTGTGGCCGGCTCTGGGAGTTTGGTTTTGCCCTGAAAGCCATAGGAAGGGCTGAAAGGTTTTAACGCAGGGAAGGATGTGATGAGGTTGATAGTCTGGGGAACAACAGCATCTATCATGTGGCGGAAATTTCTGGTGCTCACAAAAAGCCTTTCTTTTTCCTCCTGGGCACGTGGTTAGACTACATTTCCCAGACTCCTTTGTGGTCAGGTGAAGCCATATGACGGACTTCTGGTCAACCAAACATGGAGGAAAGGGATATTTGCCATTTTAGGCCTAGCCCGTAAAAACGTCCCCCACGTCCTCTCTCCCCCATCTGCTGGCTGGTGCAGAAGATCTGGGGACCTAGATCGTGGGTCTCCAAGATGGAAATGGCTTGGATCCCTGAGTCACCATGTCATAAAGGGCCTGCTATTGTGTCAACAGTGAATCGATTTTTATTATGTTAACCCATCTAAATGTTGGGTTCTTTTTTACATGGGTTAGCCTACTCTGACGAAAACCACAACAATAGGTGCTCTTGATGGGGCCTGCTCTGAATCTGGCACTGTCTCATTTAATCCGCACGACAGCCTTGTGGGGATGGGGGACGCCGTCTTCCCACTTCTCCGAAAGAAAACACTGGGGCTGAGGGAGAAGCCAGCAGGCGATGGTGAAGAAGCCTGATCCCCACCTGTACCCAAGTGCTGAACCGTGCCCTGCTGGCTCCCAGTACAAGAGGAACAGATTAAAATTGGGTGAGGCAAGGGGACCAGATGAGGAGCTATAGTGACCCCAGCTGGGAGTTCCTGCCTGTGACGCGGGGAAGGTATCAGATGATTGTAAATGTTAACCGAGAGAATGCACGTGAGGTGTCCAGTGCAGGGCCTAGAACCTGGCAGGTGTATCCTGAACGTTTGATTTTTTTTTTTTTTTTTTTTTTTTCAAGACACTAAGCAAGAACTCGCGGAGGCCTGGGTGAAACCAGGAGAGACATGTTCCGGAAGCAGTCTTGGCAGGACTCGGGCAAAGCGTGAAGGAGATGGGGAAGGCACACGGTTGCACAACTGCCTTGTGTTGCCATTTGCAGGGACACGGGAGGAAGGGTGTGAGACATCTTGAACAGCGTGAGGTGGGTACAGAGGAGGGAGAGCACAGGGCTCAAGATAATCAACCCTAAACCTTCCGAGATGTTCAGATATTCAAAAGAGGGGCTGCATTGCTGAGCCTCCAGCCGAAAAGAGCTCTTAGCAAACCCATCAGACCCTGGATGGATTCGCTCTGTCCTGGAGTGGATACTTTTTATCTACACAACCTTGGGCAAGTTCCGTAACTCTTTGTGCCTTGGTTTTTTATCTTTGTGCCCTGAAGATAGGGATAAGAGATCAGGGGGTTGTTGTGAATATATGCAGTGTGCTCAGCACAGTGTTAGATATGCAGTAGGAGAAGCAAATGGGAGGCGTTTTCACTACATTCTCTTCTCCCTGACGTTATTTCTCTATGGGTCTCTATCTGCGCAGAAAAATACTCAGGTAACAGATATGAGCACTGAAAGAATCTTTGCCCATCTTACTCACTGCTACATTTCCAATTAGCTCTTAGAACTAGTTCATGAAAGGTACTTAAATATTTGTTGAATGGATGAATGAAGGAATGCATCTCTCTCCTCTTTTTTTCTTCCTCCGTCCCTCCCTTTCTTCCCTCCCTCCTTTCTTCCTTCCCTCTTTCCATCCATCCATCCACCATCCAGCCATCATCCACCCACCCTTCCATCCATCCATCTTTTTTTTTTTTTAATTTTTTTTTTCAACGTTTATTTATTTTTGGGACAGAGAGAGACAGAGCATGAACGGGGGAGGGGCAGAGAGAGAGGGAGACACAGAATCGGAAACAGGCTCCAGGCTCTGAGCCATCAGCCCAGAGCCCGACGCGGGGCTCGAACTCACGGACTGCGAGATCGTGACCTGGCTGAAGTCGGACGCTTAACCGACTGCGCCACCCAGGCGCCCCTCCACCCATCCATCTTAAAAAGATACTAGACTGTAGTGGCTTAACCCACAAGTTCTTTTTCCAATTGTGGTAAAATACACATAACATAAAATCTACCATTTTTAACCACTTTTAAGTGTATAGTTCAGTGGCATTAATTACATTAACACTGTTGTGTAACCATCCATCTCTACGACGTTTTCACCTTCCCAAACTGAAACTCTGTACCCATTAAACAGCAACTCCCCATTCCCCTCTGCCCCCCGCCCCCAGCCCCTGGCAACCACCGTCTCCTTTCTGTCTCTAGGACTCTGACTACTCCAGAGACCTCCTATAAGTGGAATCATGCAGCATTTGTCCGTTGTGACTCAACCCACACGTTTTGCAATCACAAAACCTATGTGACCCTGGGAAACGTAACTTTCCTGAATCTCCACCTCTCCTTGTGGAAAAGTAGGAGTACCTGCGTCGCGGGCTTACTGTTGAAGTGAGATAATGCATATAAGGTTCTTAGCCCGGTGCCTGGCAAGTAGAAGGCTTGTAGAAATTGCCCAATAAATACTTGTTACACGTAAATATGTGTTCTTCATTAGTAGACACCGGTGTTGTGCTGATCGTGTGTCTGCCAGTGTCATAAGCTCTTTGTCATATGAACTCATTCAAATCACAAACGCCCCTATGTCGTCGGTTCTATCGCTATCGTTCACGCTTCACAGCGGAGAATACTGCGGTGCAGAGGGGACAGCAACACAGGGCTCCAGAGCCAGTTCACGGCAGAAACGGGCTTGGGATCCAGGCAGCCTGTTTCCGAGGCCCGCAGGCTTTCCCGCGACGCACGTTGTTACCGTGGCTGCCGCTGGCTGTCGGTGGGTGGACGGTCATCCGTCTACACGCATTCAGTCCTGGATCAGGCAGTGAGGGTGAGGGGAGTTGTTGAGGCCCCAGATACGAGGAGGAGACGTCTGAGGGAATCCACGGAAACATCACCCAAAATGCGCTGGCCATTATCTCCCACGTGCGGTCCCAGCCCAGAGGGGCCCTCTTCGTGCTCACACGCTGGTCTCCTTTGGACCCTTTTGGTGGCTGCGGGGACCCTTGTGGTGGCTCCACGTCCTGCTGGGGAAGGCCTGGGGCGCTCCCCGGGTGGTGCAGGTCAGCCGGTGCCTTCTCCCCTTGTTGGCAGAAAGCTTAGCGATCCTTGACCATCCCCTGCCCTGCCCAGTTGAGATTAAAAAAAAAAAAGAAACTGTTTCCTCTTCTGGGCCCCAGGGCCACCTCCCACCTCGCTTTATTGCTTTCTTGGCACCCTAGGGGAGCCTCCGCAGCCCTTTAAAAGGAGCAGAGCCCGAAGTAGAATGAGCAGCCCCGGTCTGAGATAAGAGCCCGACAGCAGGTGCACTCTCCCAGCCAGCTCAGGCAAGAGCAGGTGCGCGGGTCACTGGGGCCCTGATGTCTGCGGAGGTGAGCCCGCAGCTGGCCTCTGCCTCTGCCTCTGCCTCTGCCTCCGCACCCTGGCCCTACAAGGGGTGCTGAGAATTGACAAGGCTGGGGCGCTGGGGGCTCCTTTCAGGGCTTTCCTCCCACCCGTGTCCGCTCTCCCTTTTCCCCGCTGCAGGCGGCTGTGTCTGTGCGTGACGCTGAGTTTGTCGGTGGCAAGGGGAAGCAGCCAAGCATGGGAGGCAGGTGTCGTGAATCCTGGTATGAGCGGTTCCTGCAGCCCTGTCTGGTCGAACTGCTGGGCTCTGCCCTCTTCATCTTCATCGGGTGCCTGTCGGTCATTGAGAACGGGCCGGACACTGGGCTGCTGCAGCCGGCCTTGGCCCACGGGCTGGCCCTGGGCCTCATCATCGCCACACTGGGGAATATCAGGTGAGACCAGTTCCGAGGGATCGGCCTAGGCTAACCTGGGCGGGCAGAGGCGGGGAGCAAAGCTATCAGCGGGGACCCTGGGCACATACGCAAGTTTCCCAGCATTGTACATAGGAGCGTGGGCTGGGGACTCGGACTGCCTGGGTTCAAATCCTACCTCTGCAGCCTATGGGCTCTGTGGCTTTGGGCAAGTCCCTCTCCAAACCCTAAATTCCCCACCCGTAAGATGGGGAGAAGAGAGTATTTTTTACTCAAGTATTTTTACTCAAGAGTATTTTTTTCCTCAAGCCCACACATATACAATGCTAACCCAGTGCCAGGCACTGTTCTAAACACTTCCTCCCTCTCTTCCTTCTTCCCTTCTTTCCTTCCTTCCTCCCTCCCTCCCTTCTTTCTTTCTTTCTTTCTTTCTCTCTCTCTCTTTCTTCCTGCCTGCCTTTTTATATATATATATATATATATATATATATATAAATTTTTTTTTACATGCTTATTTATTTTGGAGAGAGAGCCTGAGTGGGGGAAGGGCAGAGACAGAGGACAGAGGCTCCAAAGCAGGCTCTGCACCATCAGCACAGAGCCCAATGCAGGGCTCAAACCCACGATTCGTGAGATCGTGACCTGAGCTGAAGTCGGATGCTTAACCAGCTGAGTCACCCAGGCGCCCCTCTAAGCACTTTCTAAATATGGACTCACTGAATGCTCTCAACAACCCCTTGAGGGTAGTTGCTATCATTACCCTCACTTTCCTGGTGTGGCCGAGAAAGGCCACGGGACTCGTCCACGGTTTCTTGGTTAGTAAGTGGCAGAGCCAGGAGGAAGCCCACGCTGAGAGCCCCACGGGAATCAAACGGCACCGAGTGCTCAGCTCCAGCGCTACTGGTGCCATTAGAATAGGGTTTTCCTCCAGCCTAGGGAGAGGCGGAGTTCAGCCACTCGGGAGCTCTTTTGCAGAGCCCGGGCACTGGTAAAGGGACGCCAGGATACCTCTCTCTGTCTCCTAATTTGGAGTCTGGGGTCTCATTCTGACTGATGGCCACATCTCTTGAGGGCTGGAGCTCTGAGTGAGTCCGGAAGGAGTTAAGGGATGGTCGCCCGCCAGGTCCTTCCTCTGGGCACCGTGGGCTCTGGGTGTAGGGCAGGAATGGGGCTGCCCGCTTCTCCCCGGCTGTCCCCCGCATCCCTCACCCCACCAGTGGGCACCTCAGGGAAAACGGGCAGGGTCTGGTGCCTGTTTTCTACTTGGGCAAGGTCCTTGGCTCACTCTGGTGCTGCAGGGCCATCCTGGGGGGCCACCCGGGGGGCCACATTCGCTCTAGTGTTGGCCTAGACCTTGGTCTCAAGACTTCCTTCTGCTTTTGCGGGTGACAGCGGTGGGCACTTCAACCCTGCGGTGTCCTTGGCGGCCACGCTGATCGGAGGCCTCAACCTGGTGATGCTCCTTCCCTACTGGATCTCCCAGCTGTGCGGGGGGCTGATCGGGGCCGCCTTGGCCAAGGTGGGTGATCCCCACGGGGGCTGGGGTGAGGGGAGTGGGGAGTCGGAGGCGCCCCACTTTTTTCCTCTAGGATTTTCCTTCATGGGGATTGGGTGGGTCCTTTTCTCCCGGGAAGGGGGCCTTTGGCTCTCCTTAAACACACCCTGTTCTGTCGGTGTCTGGACATAGCTCTCCCCTGGACGGACCAGGAAGCAGGATTTGGGACCTGAAGTTTCTCTCCCTGAGACCATTTCTGGCTTTGGAATGGCTTTGGGTAATGTTTCTACTGTTTGGCCATTGATTCATTCGCTCACTCATTCGTTCATTCTACAAACTGGGGGTGGGGGAAGGCTCTGGTAACTCTCCTTGAACTAACTTCTCTGCCTGTTCTCCATTTTGCCCGCCTTTAAACCGCGTCCCTCGGCGTGTGATGGGAGTTCGCGATCAGTTTATGTCTGGAGTCTTCCCCTGGCAGGACGGCTACCGCCTCCTCCCGCCACTCCGGTTTTTATAGACCCACACATCGCTTCACGGACGGACTCCCTCCTTGCCTCCTTCCCTTCTTTTTTCCCCGTCCTGTTGCTGTTAAGTCTCAGTACGACCAGGGGCCCTGCAGGATGTAGGGCTTGTAGGCGTGCGTGTTAAGGGGCGTGGGGTCGGGTTGGGGGAACAGGGGGCGCCCGTTAGCCTGGCTGGGGTTCGGCCTGTAGCTCTAGGCACTGGCCCATGGCAGACTTTGGTCTGGAGTCCCATTTTGCTGTCTTCCCTGCCCTGGTCTCCCCGTGTTCCCCTTTGAGACCCTTATCCCCTGTCTGCAGAGTGGGGGCTGGACCTTCCCGCTCTGATCCCTGATGGAAAGCAGTTCCTAGGCTCTCCCTCCAGCCGGGCCACCCGCAGACCCACCCAACACAATCTGGGCAGTGCAGGGCGGAGGCTCTGGTCACTGAGCACACCCTCCCTGCGAAGCAATTCACACAGCTTCTCTCGGTAAATCTCCCGGCCGCATCACAAGGAGCCACAGTCGGTTCTTAGAGGGCACTCGCTGCCTGAGTTCAGAGCTCCGATTACCATCACCTCCACTTTACGGAGGAGGAAACGCAGAAGAAGTCGGTAGCTGGCCCAGGTTCAGCCGAACCGGGAAGCAGCCGGGTCCAGATTTAGGTCCAGGGTCCAGAAGCTTGCTCTGCTCTCTTCCCTTTCCAGGTGCCCTGATGACTCCTGAGGCTGACTTCCTGTCAAGCCTCGGGGTTCCCTCACCCCTTCAAAGGGGCCTTAAAGGGGGCTGGCAGTGGGGTGCATCTGGTCGGACGTGTTGGCAAGTTGAGTAAGGTTTTTTTGTGTTCTTTTTTTCAAAGAGGATCGTCTAGTTACATGAGCTCTGGGGCCCCGACCCCTGCAGCCACTGCTGGGTTATCCCGTTTTACAGATGAGCAAGAGGAGGCTCAGAGAAGTCCGGTGGCTCTCAGTGAAAACTGAAGCTGGGGTATGCGTGACTGTGGATTGGACAGAGCCTGTCACTGCCCCAGCGGTTGGGGGGCACGCGCTTCCCCTCGCTGCCCGCCGTCCCCCTGCCCTGCCCACACGGTGAGGCCAGTGGCTTCTCTTCTCTCCGCAGGCAGTGAGTCCTGAAGACAGGTTCTGGAACGCGTCTGGGGCGGCCTTTGTGACGGTCCAGGAGCCGGGGCAGGTGGGGGGGGCGGTGGTGGTGGAGCTGATCCTGACGACCCTGCTGGCACTGGCTGTTTGCATGGGCGCCATCAACGAGAAGACGCAGGGCCCTCTGGCTCCATTCTCCATTGGCTTTGCCGTCACCGTGGACATCCTGGCCGGGTGAGCGGTCCTGGGCCAGCCTTTGGGGTTGGGGTACCCAAGGAGGCACCCCTCTGCCCCTCTAGTAAGTTATTGCCGTGATGGAACGTGGGCCCCAAATGACCCTTCTAACATCATTCCAGGGAAGTCAGAAAACTGGCTTCTCATGTGATATTTTCCTTTCTTTTGAAAAAAGTTTTTTTAGTGTTTATTTTTGAGAGAGAGAGAGAGAGAGAGAGAGAGAGATGGAGAGCAAGTGGGGGAGGGAGACACAGAATCCAAAGTAGGCTCCAGGATCCGAGCTGTCAGCACAGAGCCCGACACGGGGCTCGAACTCACCAACTGTGAGATCATGACCTGAGCTGAAGTCAGACGCTTAACTGACAGAGCCACCCAGGCATCCGGAAATTCACCTTTTTTTGTAGCGTTAAACATTTCTGTGAGCTGTGTTTGTTCAGTCAGTGGGAAGCCAGGTTTTAGCCTCAGCCTCACAAAGAGCTTCCATACTCACTGACTCATCTAGGGTGAGCCCCTCAGGGGTGCAGGAGGGGTTTAAGGAGACAAGCTTGGGTCAGGGATTGTTTCTCCCATTTTATATATGAGGAGACTGAGCCCAGAGAGAACACACGTGACTTATTTAAGGTCACTGGACAGTGGCAAATTAAAGGACAGATCTGGGACAAGAGCCCAAATCTCTTAGTAAAGGGGCGTGTGTGTGTGTGTGTGTGTGTGTGTGTGTTTATTTATTGGAGAGGGAGAGAGGAGCAGAGAGAGGGGGGACAGAGGATCTGAAGCAGCCTCTAAGCTGACAGCAGACAGTGGGATGCGGGGCTCGAACTTATCAACCAGACCTGACCCAAAGTCAGCCGCTCAACTGAGCCACCCACGTGCCCCGAGGGAGCCCCTTCCTAATGCCCACCTCCTTTCCTTCTCTTGGACACAGAACCAAGTCTAGGCGGTCCGGGCTCTGCCGCCCACATCGCTGTCATCCTTTGGGAGGTGGAGTCTGGGGAGCTTGGGGGGGGGGGGCGGGGGGCGTGCGGAAAGCGCGTGTAAAGCCGCGGCGGTGCTTTGCTGCCCCCTAGCGGCTGTTGGTTCCTTTACAAGCCAATGATTCATCCTTTGTACTTTGGCTGCCGGGCAGGGGACCCCGGGAGACCCTCAGCAACGCGGCAAGGATACCGACCCCAGAACCAGAGAGGTAGCCCTGGAGAACAGCCCCCCCTCCTCCCGTAGGAGACGCCAGGCCCCAAGCTTGTGGCACAACAAGGGCTAATAAGGGTTAGCTAGATTAAACGCTTGTACGTGAATTATATTTTGAGTCTTGGGCTCCTAGATGTATTTTCGCAGTGGCTCCTGACAAGAGCCTATGAGATAGGTACTTTCTCCTCAAGCGAAGGGCACACAGCTAGAAAGAGCTGGGCTGGACTTCGGATGCAGGTCAGCTTCACTCTGAAGTTCATGCGGTCGACGCTGACTGCTTGCCTTGGTTTCTTCAACGTCGACGAGGACCTGGACCCGTTTTCTCTTCCTGTCACCACTGAACTCTCTCTCTGCTGTCTGTTCTTCTAGAAGGGCGTGTGGGGAGTGACAGAGAAGCCTTTCACTTCCCGGTGCTAATAGCCTCTTCGCCTGTGTCTTCTTTGGGATCCACCCCCTCCCCCCGCCCCACCAGAGCCCCACAATATGGTGGCTTCAAGAGGGTTTCTGGGTGGTGTGCGACTTGAGCCTAGTTGGGGAAATGAACTTGACCTTGACGCGGGCCGGGGCCTGGCTGGGATCTGGCGACCATGTGGCTGGGTGTTTGCAGGGGTGCTGTGTCCGGAGCCTGCATGAATCCTGCCCGTGCCTTTGGACCTGCTGTGGTGGCCAATCACTGGGACTTCCACTGGATCTACTGGCTGGGCCCGCTCCTGGGGAGCCTCCTCGTAGGAGTGCTTATCAGGTAGGAGCGTGACCCAGGGTCACTGGCCCCTCTCGTGGGCACCTGGTGTCAGTTCCCAGAGCATCCAGGGCTGGACGGCTGGGATCTCACGTGGGTTCGAAGAAGGGAAGAGGGAGTCTTTTCCAGAGACAAAGATTATGGCTCCAGGACCTTTGGTTCCAAGTGACGGAAATCCATCTCAATGTAGTTGACGTCCCAAGGGGGAATTCGCTCACTCACATCAATGAGAAGTTCACACGTAGCACCGGCTTCAGGTGGTGCTCAAACAGTGTCTTTAGGACTTGGTCTGCTGTCCTCTGGGCAGGCTTCATGCTCCGAGAGGCTCTCCGGGAGAGGCAGAGATGCTCGCCGGAAAAGCTAGGCTTCCATGTCAGCAGCTTAACAACCCCAGAAGAGATAAAACAACAGCTCTAGCAAAAGCCCGGAGTCTCACGTTCACTGGTTTGGACTGGCGCAGCATGGGTCGTGTCCCCCTCTGCATCCACCCCTGTAGCCACGGGGCTCAGGCACTCTTCCTGGCTATGTCGGGAGTTGGGGCGAGGTCAGCCTCACCTGCACAGCCACGTGGACCACGAGTAGGGGAGCTCCTCACGGGGCCGGGGAGTCCTATCCACAGAGAGAACCGTGGAGATGGTGCCCCCAAGAGCACGCGTGCCAGGAGATGCCATTGACATGAAATGCAACGTGAGCAGAGCTCCCTGGCCTTGTGCGGTGGGGAACAAGGTTGATGCCACCACAAGGATAGTATCTGCTTGACTGCTTCCCCTTGAGCTCTCCTTTTGTGAGCTTTGAAGGTCTGCAGGGGCCTGGTGTGTTTTTTGTTTGTTCGTTTTCCCTGCTCCAGGCCCTGCAGGGACTAGGGTCTGGACTTGGTACACGGTGAACCTACCTCCCGCAGCCTGGGAGGGCACAGTCACTGGGCTGGTCTCTAGCGTTTGCCATCAATGCCCACCTGCAGTCCGGCTTAGCCCACGGGTTGGCAATGAAGGGCATCACTGTTGCTTTCGGAATGGCTGAGAGAGCATCGTCAGGGAAAGGTTACTGGAAAGCAAACAGGAGAGAGTTTCTCCCTTTCCCCAAGGGGATTTGGCTATTGAGGCTGGAAAGGCTCAGGAGAGCATCTTTCTGGAGAGTTCTGGGCCTGGAGACACTTGATGAAGGGCTGGGTCTCTCCTCCAGAGGCTTGGGGGCCTCATGGGGCCATCTTTCTTTTTTTTTTTTTTTTTGTAGGTTCCTCATTGGAGATGGGAAAACCCGCCTAATATTTAAGGGACGATGACCCTGGTGGCATTGTTGCGGCCCCACCCAGAATGCAGACAGGTCACCTTCTGCATTTCCTGCCTGGGCAGAGGCCCAGAGGAGCCCCTCACTTGCTTCCCCCCCATGTGCGCCTGGCTTCCCAGATAGACAGACTGTCGCTAAGTTCTGAGGATGCTCTATGTTCTCCAAACTCCACTGGGCTCGGTGGAGACCTCAGCCTGGGGGGCGTGTTGCCAGAACGAGGGAGAGGTCTTTCTCGGGAGGGAGGGTCCCAGGAGCTGAATAGGTGGCTGTTTATGCACAGGAGTTCACTGCCCCCGGCCCCCTCTCCTTCTCCTTCTTCGCTGTTACAGAAGGGCCTTCAGGGGGTTTCCCTGCTTCCTGAGCTGCCACTTTAGCTTTGCAATAAATAGTCCACTATTTCCTTTTGGGTGCATTTGCCTTTCATTTCGGACATGGGCGCTGCTGGGGAGGAAGCAAAAGTCTGGGCTGGGCCTTAGCTGTCCGGAGCCTGGCTTAGGGTCCGCATCAGGGTAGGTACTGAGGACGTGGGCAGTCCTAGAGCCCGTCTTCCACCAGGCCAGACCCATCCTGGAGCCCTGCCAGGAGCTCAGAGTCAATCCCTGATCAGAGGCCGCAGGGTCCAGGGTCTGGTTTAGTGGCCAGTATCACCTAGGACACGGATCAGCCCACTTGAGGTGCTTGGCTGGGGATGGGTGTGGGTATGGGGGTCGGCCAGAGCTGTAAGGATCTCCCAAGGAGATCAATAACATGGCATAACATAGGTCTGGAGAGAGAGTGGTGTTTTGATGGAAGATATGACTATCACGAATAAGGAAGGATTGAAAAAAGATACGGAGACACATTCGTAACCTCATACCTTCCAAAAAGAGCGCATCATCTCTACAATCTGTGGGTCACCGATGGAAGTTGGTCATCGTAACACCATGAAGAAGGGCCAGGGAAAAGTAATCCTCAACAACGAATGAAGACTCACCCACTTCTACAAGATGAGCAAAATGCTCACCCGAGTAAAAATGAACAAAATGCTTAGAGAAAATCACCAATATGCTTTGAGGCTGCCTGGTGAGAAAATGGGCACACCACACACCCAAACATCCAGAGCAGTTTGGGGAGACAAGGAGAATAGCAAATAACAACAACAACGACAACAACAACAACCCTAAACAAAAAAAAAAGGAAAAAAAAAACAGGCAATAATATAAAACCAGTAACAAGCAAATTAGAACATTTACGAAGAGTGACAAGTGTGAAAAGTTACTGTTTCATTTGTTTATGTGATGAAGTAAACCTTTGCAGGATGCTTGGGTGGTTCAGTTGGTTAGGTGTCTGACTCTTGGTTTCAGCTCAGGTCATGATCTCACGGTTCGTGAGATCAAGTCCTGTGTGGGGCTCGGTGCTGACAGCTCGGAGCCTGCTTGAGGTTCTCTCCTTCTCTCTCTGCCCCTCCCCTGCTTGTGCTCTCTCTCTCTCAAAATAAATAAACAAACATTCAAAAAAATTTAAAGAAAGAAAGAAAGAAACCTTTGGTAAATCTAGTAAATAACAAAATAGTTATATATACATACACATACATGCGTACATACAAACATATACGTGTACATACACACATACATATACACATGCGTGCATAGGCATGAACACGTGTGTAACTAACACTGATCATTTAGTCCATGCTTGGCACTGTGCATAATGCTTTCTATGCCTTATCTCATTTGCTCCCCACAACCCTATGAGGTACAGCACAGTGGGTTGAATAGCGTCCCCCCCACACTCATGTCCACCTGGAACCTCAGAGGGTAACCATATGTGGAAGTAAGGTCTTTGCAGTGTAATTAAGGTAGGGATCAATCAAGGTGAGATCAGGCTGGGTTAGGGGGGGCCCTAAGTCCGATGGGAGTGTCCTTAGAAGAGACAGAAAAGGACACACAGAGACACAGAGAAGAAGGCACGCGGAAGAAGGATGGGGGCAGAGACTGGAGTTACTGCGTCACATGCCAGTACCAGGAGTCCCGGCAGCTGCAAGAGGCAACGAAGGTTTCTCCCTCACAGCCTTGGGGAGCCTGGTGCTGCTGACACCCTGATTTCAGACTTGTGGCCTCAGAACTGTGGGAGAATAAGTTTCTGTTGTCTTAAGCCACGCAGTTTGGGGTAATTTGTACAGCAGCCCCAGGAAAGTAACACAGGCAGGTGCCCTCACCCCTTCTCATCTTCCAGGGGGACAGATGCGGCTTCCAAGCGATGGTGTCACCCAGAGTCCCACAGTCCGTCGGTCGAGCCAAAATCTGAGATCAGGAATGTTTGTAGGGTTCATGATCTTTGCCATCACACTTGGACGTTTCTGAATGAGGGACAATACGTCTCCTGTCTCATCTCCTATTTGCCGGTTAGTCCCCATTAGGAGGGGGGCAGGAAGACACGCGCTGTACCTTCTCACTGCTTACTTGCAACTGGACTTCGAGTCCTGGTCTCTCATGACAATTTCTGGACCATAAGCTCTCAAGAGGAAGGTTGTTGCTAATTCATCTTTGCATCGCCACATTATTTGGTGGCAAGTATGGCACAGGCTATGGCACAAGAACAGCCACTCAGATCAATGGCACAGAATAGAGAACCCAGAGATGGACCCACGAACAGATGGCCAACTCATCTTTGACAAAGCAGGAAAGAACAGCCAATGGAATAAAGACAGTCTCTTCAGCAAGTGGGGCTGGGAAAACTGGACGGTGACACGCAGAAGAATGAACCTGGACCGCTTTCTTTCACCAGACACAAAAATAAACTCAACATGGATGAAAGACCTAAATGTAAGACAGGAAGCCATCAAAATCCTAGAGGAGAAAGCAGGCAAAAACCTTTTTGATCTTGGCCACAGCAACTTCTTACTCAACACGTCTCTGGAGGCATGGGAAACAAAAGCAAAAATGAACTATTGGGACCTCATCAAGATAAAAAGCTTCTGCACAGCTGGGGCACCTGGGTGGCTCAGTCACACATCCGACTGCGGCTCAGGTCATGATCTCATGGTTTGTGAGTTCGGGCCTCGTGTCGGGCTCTGGTGACAGACAGCTCAGAGCCTGGAGCCTGCTTTGGATCCTGTGTCTCCCTCTCTCTCTGCCTCTCCCCCACTTGTGCTCTCTCTCTCAAAAATAAATACATTTTAAAAAATTTAAACATATTATAACTAGTGTAGTATAATAAAAAATTATGGAGAGCCTGTGTGGCTCTGTTGGTTGAGCGTGACTCTTGGTTTCAGCTCAAGGCAGGAGCTTTGTGAGTTGGAGCCCCACACAGGGCTCTGTGCTGGCAGCACGGAGCCCGCTTGGGGTTCTCTCTCTCTCCCTCTCTGCCCCTCTCCCCCTCTCGCGTGCTGTCTCTCTCAAAATAAGTAAACTTAAAAAAATTATATTACGGTCAAAAGACCCTAAATTTAGGACCTAGTTTTTCCACTTTCTAGACCTGTGACCAAGGAAAATTTCTTAAATTTTGTCAATTTTTTCTTTTTTTATTCTTAAACGAGGACAGTAATATTAAGTTCTGCAAGTCCTTCCCAAGTTCTAATGTTCTGGGAATCTACTGCAATAAATCACCTCTCCAAAGGCAAAAATAAATAAGTAAACAAATAAATAAAAATAAAAAATAAATACAAGAATGGCACAGGCAGGCTGATCCCAATGACTCTCAAAAGTCATTCAGACCCTCCAGAGTAGAATCCAAATTTGACCCAGATCATCCCCACCCCACCTCTTGTCTTCTCAGAACAAGGAGGAACTGGAAACGGGGGATGTCAGAGCTGGAAACTCCATGACGGTAAAATGCAGTGGCCACGAGTTTGGATTCTGAGCAAGATCCGAGCTTAAATCTTAAGACTGTTCACGTCTTTGCTGCGTAAGCTTGAGAAAGGCAACTTCACGTCTCTCCGCTGCTTTTTCTGTACAGCGGAGGCAGGGCCACAGAATGCATGGGAGTATAACCTGCCGTTTGTAGAGCGTTCGCACGATGCCCAGTACAGGCGAAACGGAAGACGTGTCAGCTCGTGGTACATGGTGTGATGTAATCAAAGCCTCTGACTTTGCAGGTACCAGAGTCATGGTGAGGGGTGGAGGTCTAGAAAGGAGCTTCTAAATGACCTTCGCACATGTCTATTTTTTCACCTACCTTCTTTGGGCCTCTCAAAGGGGAAGAAGTTGGGAACCACTCATGGCTGCCTGACCCCAAAACCCGGTGCAGCTGAATAATTTGACTAAATCACAGAGCGATCTAATGGCAGAGCTCAATAGAATCCAGGATTTGGGACACACAGTCTAGTTTTCTTTCTTTAAAAAAAATTTTTTTTTAAATGTTTTATTTTTGAGACAGAGAGAGACAGAGCATGAACAGGGGAGGGGCAGAGAGAGAGGGAGACACAGAATCGGAAGCAGGCTCCAGGCTCTGAGCTGTCAGCACAGAGCCTGACGCAGGGCTTCAACCCACGAACTGTGAGATCATGACCTGAGCCGAAATCGGATGCTTAACCAAGTGATCCACCCAGGTGTCCTTTTTTTTTTTTTTTTTTTAACTTATGTATTTAAATCCAAGTTAGGTAACATATAGTGTAATAATGGTTTCAGGAGCAGAACCCGGTGATTCATCACTTACATGTAACACCCAGCGCTCATCCCAGCAAGTGCCCTCCTTTATGTCCATCCCGCCTCCCCTCCAGCAGCCCTCAGTTTGTTCTATTTAAGAGTCTCTTCTGCAACTCTCCGTCATCAGCCTGTCCAAGAACCCTGGGAGTTGCGGCAGCCCCAAAGAGCAGAATGCTGGTCTCCTACCCTCCTGCCAAGTGTCTGTCTCCGTGCCTGCGGTGCTGCCCGTGTCTCTCTGCCACGTGGTGCTGCTGTTGGGGCTGGTCCTCGGACATGGTGCGTGCCCAGTCGCGCTTGTCCGGGCCAGGGTAGCTTCTTGGAAGAGGGATCCCTTACTGCCACTTCCACACCTTCCATGTCAAACACGCTAGCATGACCCGCGGGCCCTGTGCTCAGGTATCCAAGCACCTTATGCCTTAAGGCTGCGGGCTTTCGGATCTTGTCCCCCTTCCTCCATTCTTAAGTGCCACCATGTCCAGGTGGGTTTCGGTATCCACCTCTCGTGCAACCCAAAGCCACGGTTTCCCTTCGTGTCCTCGGACTCATCATGAAGTTTGGGCGGTGTGTGTGTGTGTGTGTGTGTGTGTGACTAGCTGTAGACCTTTTTTTTTTTTTAATTGAAGTATAGTTGACACGTGTTATATTAGTTTCAAGTATACGACAGTGATTGGGCAACTCCGTCCTTATGCTGTGCTCACAAGTGTATTCACACTGCCACCTGTCACCATACAACGCTATTACATTGACAACGTTCCCTGGCCCTTCATCCCGTGACG